CATTTAGTGGAAGATAAAGTAGGTGCTTAATAAATGCTTCTTGATTGATTGATTCTCTTATACTGTTGTTGGAATGATTATAGAACAGAGGTGTCAAATTCAAATAGAAAGAGGAGGAAGCACCAATCATAAGGGTCACTGTGTGTTATATATTTACTTACTTTTAAAATGTAATATTATCTATGCATTATTGTATTTTTATTTATTTTGTTAAATATTTTCCAATTGCATTTTAATCTTGTTTGGGTGCACTCAGGAGTGGCCTGGGTTGTTTGATATCTACTGTAGAACTCTACCCACAGCCTTTTGCTGTGAAAAGAGCTCCAGAAGCATTAGACGTTTAGGGTTTTCATTTCACACCTCAAAGTCTTATCTCATGTCTTTTTTTATTTAACTGGTATCCCATAGGCATCTCAAATTCAGGACATGCAAATCAGAACTCATTATCTTTTCATTAAATCCCACCCCTTTTCTGAATTTCTCTATTACTCTCTTTTTTTTGGGGGGGGGTAAGGCAGTTGGGGTTAAGTGACTTGCCCAGAGTCACACAGCTAGTGTTATGTGTCTGAGGCTGGATTTGAACCCAAGTCCTCCTGACTCCAGGGCTGGTGCTTTATCTGCTGTGCCACCTAGCTGCCCCTCTATTACTCTCTGGGGCACCAACATCCTTCCTGTCACCCAGGTTCACAGCCTTGGTGTTATCCTTCTCACTCACACCGTATGTCAAATCATTTCCCATATCGTGGTTCTACCTTCACAACATCTTCCATATATGCCCCCTTTTCGCCACTCATTTAGCCACCACCCTTGAACAGGCACTCATCACTCATCTAGATGCAACAGCCTGTTAATTTTTCTCCCTGCCTGGAGTTTCTTCCTGCTCCAATCTATCATCCACACAGCCAAAGTAATGTTCCTAAAGCAAGGTTTTGACAATACCCTGCCCACTCCTTACACACACATAAACACACACACACACACACACACACACACACACACACACACACACACACAAATTTTAATGGCTGTCTCTTCCAAGATCAAATATCCAAGGCTCGGTTTGGCATTTAAAGCTCTTTACCACCTGGCCCCTTTGTACCTCTTTATTCTTCTTGAAATTTACTCCCTTCTACACATTCTGTAATGTGGCCATAGTGACTTCCACCCAATATGTGCCTTCCTGTGGCTGTACTACATGGCTGGAATGCAGCTAGCCTCCCACTCAGGAGGCGGCTTTCCTGCCTTCCTTCCTGACTTAGTTCAAATGCCACCATCTATAGGAGACTTTTCTTTGTGCCCTCAGCTACTAAAGCCTTCCCCTCTAAAGTGATCTTTCATCCATTTTGTATGTATCTATCTGTATGTATGTATCTGTTTATTTACATGTTGTCTCTACTATTAGAATGCAAGCTCCTTGAGGGAAGGAAATGTATTTTGCTTTTCTTTACATCCCCAGTGCTTAGCACAGTTCCTAGCAAATAATAAGTGCTTAATGAATGCTTTTTGATTGGCTGAGGATTGATTTTTGAGGCAGCTAGTGGCTCAGTAGATAGAGTTCAGAACTTGGACTTAGAAACACCTAAATTCTAATCCTCACTCAGACATTTACTTGGCAAGTGACTTAACTTTTCTCAGCCTCAGTTTCCTGAGTGCACATGGGAATAATGTAGGAAAATTATGTATAATAATATGTTTATGTGGGAATAATAATAATAGCACCTACTTTATAAGATTGTTGTGCAGAACTAATTGAATGAGGTAATATGTATGTAAAACAAATCCAAAAGTACTTTATAAATGATAACTAATATCATTATTTATATACTTGTTGGACTGTAGTCATTTCCCTGACCACATCAGGTCTTTACCTCTTCAGCTTTTTTGACTAAACAGTGCACAGTCAGTGAATATTCAAAGCTCAGATAAGCTTCCATCTTAGAAACTGTATTCTACAGAGAAGATTAACTTGAAAGAAATCATTTTTACTTGTTCCCTGCTGACCTCACTCTACGACCAAGGAATAGCAGAAATTATACCACCTGGGATGTCTAGTTGTTAAAGTGATTATTGGTGGATTTCATAGGAAGTATACAAAACTGTCCATTTACCGGATATTTCCCTCCTACACACACACACACACACACACACACACACACACACACACACACACACACGGGTGTCTTGATGACCAAGCTTAGCAAGCCTCCTCAATTATTTTTATTTATTGAAAAACCTGCATGTTTGGCATTTCCTTTCAAAGTGTTTCAGACTAGCTGAGCAAACCAAATTTACCCTCCCTCATTATCAAACTCAGCAGCTTCACTGAAATTGCCTGTAAATAGGATGTTACCTGATTAGGTGACTCAGTGGGCTTTAAAGAGTTGGACCACAGATGAAACAATCAACGGAAGGAAAACAGGATAAAGTTCCCATTAGAGTCTTCCAGAAGATTGAATGAAAGCAATTTGAAGTATGACTTTAGGAACTCTCTTGAGAATTGCTTGACCTTAGAATAATTTGTTTGACTGTGATCTGTACTGTGCCAATCAAGCCCAGAATTCCAGGATTCTAGTGTGAGAATCATGCAAAGGAAACCTCATTTGGGCTATTTTGTCAAGGACAGAGTGAAAGTTTCTATCATCATTAGCTAGATAATTAGTTCCCCACACACACACACAGACCCCCACCCCACCCCCAAAAAAAGTCCTGCTATTAAGGGGAAAAAAGCAACCTAAAGAAGAGCAAACAGATAAAAGTTGTCCCTCTAACATTGATGCAAATCACCAGATAACTGCTTAAAGGTTGTTATTAGAGAGAAGGAGGGTCCAGAAAGTAATCACAAAATGTTAAGTGAATGTCAAGGAATTTCCCTACAACCCCTGCAAGAAGATACGAATAGGTCTTTAATCAATTTGAAAGGACCTAAAACTCGACATAATGTGGAGGAAGTGCTGGACACAGAGAAAGAACACTTAAAGTTGACTCTCGATTCTGTCTTGATCTCTCTGAGTCTTACTTTGCTCATATTTAAAATAGGGAGGATAAGAACTATACTACCTACTTCATGGAGTTATTATGAGGTAACTAGATTGTAAGCCTTACGGCATAAATGAACACGACTTGTTCATAAATCTTTGGACAAATACAAAAGATTGTTAATGCCATTTCTGAACTAAAATTTTAGCTACACAAATCAGAAGATCCCAAGTTATTATTCCCACAACAACTATGTTTCAGTCTTTCATGCAATGCCTTTTTGGATAATGACCAAGGGATCATTGCTAAAAAGAACTTTAGATTTCAGCATTTAGGTTTCTTTGGAGTTTTTCTAGCCATTTGTGTAAGGTAGGGAGTTCAGACAGACAGACAGACAGACACACACACACACACACACTTCAATTTCTGTGGTCAGCAGTGTCCAGAAAGTAATCATAAAATATTAAGTAAATGTTAAGGAATTTTCTTACAACTCTACAACAAGATATAAATAGATCTTTAATCAGTTTGAAAGTATTATAGGTCTTTGGCCATTAGATAAAGAGAGCTAACAGCATACAGGAAACATCTTGTGGTTAGCCAAGAGAATCAGTCATCCCCCTTGGCCATAATGTGTGTGTATGTATGTGAACATGAATGTGTGTGTGTGTGTGTGTGTGTGTGTGTGTGTATGGAAGTCCCTTCCCCACATTGTTGCTGTCAGGTAAGGCAAAGGACTATTTAGTAGTAGAGGCATTGAGGCATTTTCTGGAGATAAAATCCCTTCATTTATACCAGAGAGAACAAGGTGGGGAGGGGACTTTCTTTTCATTCCACCAAATTGACTATATCAGATTTGCTAAATGAGTGGGAGACAGTGCATCCAGTTGGGAGCAGATATGCACACCCAAGGGCACGTGAGGATGTAAAAAGGTGAAGAATTAGACACAAGAGGAAAGAGAAAGCTCTACAAAGAGAGAAAGGACTTCCATGTCTTTTAGTACTAGGAGTTATGAATTATTTTTTGCAAAATGTGTATCCTATACATGTACCTCACTGGCATTGTGCACTACACTTGAACCCACTCTTCCCATTGAAACTCTGCATATTTGTGGAGACTGCTTCGCAGGTTCAGGGGGAAAATATTTTGTACCAATTGTTCTTATTTATACCATCTTAGTAATAACTTCACTAAAAAGTTAATTAAGTCTACTGGCTGATTGTTAATGGGAGACAGACTAATAGGAACTCATGAGCTACAGCAGTAGGAGTAACCATCCACAGAGTTACCATTAGTGGTAGTTTTAGAAGCATGATACCACAGGGTATGCCCCTATATCCTGAGGATAGTAGTCACTTCTGTGAACCAAATCCATGGATGTGAATTCAAATTCAGAGAGGATCCTGGGGTGGGGGGGAAGTGGGACACAACACTTACTATTTAGTATATTTCTGTACCAGAAAGCTATATTATTTAGTCGTGTCCTTTGAGATGAGATTGGTTTAGGAAAATAAAATTCCTCCTTCAGAAACAGTGGAAAAGTGAACCAGAACTTAACAATTTAGCAATCATGCAATTCAGGATTGACTTTGAGCTATATATTCGTGAGATCCAATATACCCCCAAACCAGTGACCCTTTAAGACACTGCTCCATAATATTTTATATTTATACAGCTCCTTAAGGTTTACCAAGCACTTTACATATATTAAATCATTTGAGTTTCTCAACAAACCTGTGAGGCATGCAGAATGAGACTCATATTTTGACCCCAGCCAGGATCAGAATTTCTTTGGCTCTACTCTATGTGTGTTATTATTAGGTCTATCTAACAGTGGTTTGGGATGTCCTGGAAACTAGAGGGTCCCCTGTTACTGGAGACTTTTAGGTGAAAGGTTGATGACCCCGGGGGGAGGGGTGGTTATACAGGGAAACTCTTGGTCAGCCATGGGTGTGTGGCTTCTGAGGCTCCTTTCTCCTCTGATTCTGTGATCTAACCCATCACCTTTCTTTTCCTTCTCCAGGCAGAGATGGTGCACAGTGCCTTCCAAGCACAAAGAGCTTTCATCTTGTTAGCATCTCAGTACCAACAGCCCCAAGAGGTAAGATCCATTGAGTGTCCGTGACACAATGGTCTGCACTATAGATCCCTAACAACAGGCGTGCATATCGGAGAACAGTAACAGAAAATCATCAGAGCTGTTGTCTCTGAAATACATCTCATCGAGCCTTGGACTGTGTCTACTTATTTCTACTCATCCCTGTCAAAGCATAGCTGAGCTAATCGATTTAGCCATCTTCACAATCTAAATGCACAAGTTGCATTAACCTTTGTGTCCATGATTGAAAAAAATAAAATGCAGTATGCACACAAGTACATCTGTATTTTAGTAACCACAGCAGACTTAAGAGACAACATGGTTATGATGGGAGGAGGAATGACATTTATAATGAAGTACTTTAAATTGGCAATGCATTTTACGACATTATTTCATTTGATTCTTTGGATCCCTTCTGAGGTAATAATAATAATAAGCTAACATTTATGTAGCACCTACTGTGTGCCAGGCACTATGTTAGGCACCTTACAATTATTATCTCATCCTCAGAACAACCCTGGGAGGTAGGTCCTATTATTATCCCCATTTTACCACGGAGTAAACTGAGTAAACAGAGGTTAAATGATTTGCCCTGAGTCACATAGCTAGTAAGTGTCTGAGGCCATATTTAAACTCAGGTCTTTCTGACCTACCTAACTGTCCCAAGGTTACAGAATCATAGATAGCATCCTTAGAGACAATAGGCTTGCTCCTTCAAGGATAAGGAAATTTAAGTCCATAGAGGTTAAGTGAATGACCCAAGGTCAGACAGGTAGTAAGTGGTGTAAGCAGCTCTTGACTACAAGTCTTTTTGATTCTGAGCATAACATTTTCTTCAATCTACCACAGTGCCTTCCATTATGGGAATTGTAAAGCAGGGTCAAGATCTGGTGTTCCTATTAACAGCGTGGCCTTGGCTAATCACATCAGTTCCCTGGGCCTCAGTTTCCTCATCTGTAAAATGACAATTGTGTTTTGCTGTTTTCAAATTGTTTTCCATGCGTTTATCTCATTGGAGCCTCTCAATAGCCCTATGCTGTAAATAGAACAAGTGTCCCCATTTTGTACCCGATGTAACTAAGGCTCAGAGAGAAAGTACAACTTCTGCAAGGTCACACAGCTAGTGTTATTGATGGTTGAACTAGTCATACTCAGAGGTACCTTAAAAATCTGCGATTATATCATTGTAACCCCTGGGTTTGAGTCCCACTTCTGCTATTTATCTGTTCACAGAATGTAGCCATATCTTTGTGCTGGGTCAATGAAAAGGTCAGTTGCAGAGTTGGACTTTTGGGGGCTTTTTTGCTTCTTTTCCCTTTTTTGGAGAATAGACCAGAGATTAGAAGAGCTAAGAAAAGACTTGGGCAATGGGGAAGAAAGTCTTTCATATGCACAGCCTCTCTTAGGAGTTTGGGGCAGAGACCAGGGGGAGAAATTCTTAGGCAGTGCCAGTCACTTGAGAAGAAGGGATTGTGTTTGTAAGCCCCCCAAGTTACCCTCTTCTGACACACCCACATAAAGTTAGAGGAGTAATAAGAAACTTAAACCAAGACATAAGGGAGCAAAAAACTCAGACTTTGCTCTGTTACTACCATGAATTGTTCAGATAATACAGGTCTGAGAAGGGGGTTGCCTTTCTAGCAATCCCAAGTTTGTTTTCTTTCCAGGAGGAGTCCAAGCCCAGGGGGAGTGGTGCCATAAGGCTAGAAGTTTACACGCATGCCTGGGGAGTGAAATCTGTAAGAATGTTGGAGCCCACTTATCCATGAGCCCCAAGTTTGTTTTCTTTCTTGGAGAATCAATCATAGGGTAGGGCATCTGGAAAACTGTACAAGACCCTTGAGAAAAGGTAGAAATCCTTGGAGATAGAGCATTTTATTGATTATGTAAGCCTCTGAATGTTCTAAGTATTTTTATTGCTAAAAACATTTGGCCAGTCTCTTTGTATATGCTTGAAGCTCCTGAGGTTATAAAATTTGGCTAGGAATATCAGAAAACAGAACTTCACTTGAGATTTATGGAATTTTCACCTTTCAAAGCATGAATCACACAGCACTAGTAAAGGAAAGAGCAAGCTGACCTACCTCATAGACATGCCCTGAGTGGGCAAAATTACTCAGCATGTTCTTAATCAGTGGAACAGAGTGTCACTATTCAGTGGCTGCTTTACTAGTGCCAAGCTCCAATGTATGGCCCTTAATGGAAGGGAACTTCCTTTTTAAGCCATCAGCAAAATCATGACAAGTCAGCCTACACTTTCTACCACTTAGGGTCTTTTTTATTGATGTTTTTCCTGGTTTCTTTATTGGGCTTTGTGTGGGCCCCACTGCAAAATGAAAACTTTATGGACCTCCTACAGAGGCAGTACCTGGCTAACTCTCCTAAGTTTTCCTTGTGTTTGAGATCCTTGAGTTATTTTTCTGAGCAGTATCTTTGACCATGAACTTGTATTTCTCTTTAATGACAAACTTTTTGTAAGCTAGTAACTTAACCGTGGCTCTCAACTGAAGCACAGCCATTAGCTATCCAGAAATTCTCTGTGTTATACTATGGTTGTTTCCTTCCTCAGTTTTCTCCTATCTCTTTAGGAAAGTATATGAGAAAGATCTTTTTCCCATTGGTTCCTCAAAGATGAGTGTCAAAGAGGAGAACATATGTAAGTTCTTCACCCATCTGCATCTAAGGAATGCCTTTGGTCTTTTGCAAAAGAGATCATCAAAGCCATTGGAATATGAGGCATTGTAGTGCATTGGAAAGAGCCTCACATTATTAAGAATGAAGGCAAGTCTGGAAGCTACTGTAAGAAAGAAAGAGAGAGAGAAAGAAGGAAGGAAGGAAGGAAAGAAGGATGAATGGATGGATGATGGATGGATAGAGAAAATTATTGCCAGATGAAAAATAAATGAAAAGAAAATATAATTGCAATGCCATTATTATATAAACTAGAATGCTGTTTCATTTAGAATAAAAATAGAAATTTAACAATATAATAGTCAAAGGCCATGTGGATATGAATGCTTCACACCTGCAAAATGCCCTTCTCACACCAACCCTGTGAGAAAGATGGTGCAAATATTAGCCTCATATAGATGAGATGTGGAGATCCAGAAAGATGAGGTTACCTCTACAAAGTCACATAGCTGATAAATATTAAAGACAAGGTCTTAATCACATTCTTTGATTCTGAGTCCAGGACTTTTTCCATTATACCATGCTGGAGGGTGAGGTGGGGTAGGGGATGAGAAAGAAAATAATGTTGGTATTCAATCACTTCTACTCTTGTTTTTGTTTTGTATTTGATTTTATGTCATTTTCTCAAATAAGTATCACATATAGGCAAAGAAAAAAAAAGAAAGAGCCCCAGACTCAGAATCATTTAACCTGAGGCCAAATCCTGGCTCTGCCATTAACCATCTGTGTGACTTTGGGCAAGTCTTTTAATCTCTTAAGGCCTCAGTTTGCTCATTTGTGAAGTGAAGGAGTTATACTATATGACCTCTAAGATCCATTTTAGCTCCAGATCTACGATCTCATGTGATATTTTGATATTTTATATTTAAGCCTCATTCTGCCCTTTCTTTGAGTGAAGTAAGAATAGTCTTAATATCTCAAGAGAAAAAGAGATGTATGGCCACTTCCACCCTCCTCACCCTCACACACAGATCTTCCCTCTTCCATTCACAATGTGGGGTGGAAGGAGAATGGGAAGGCCTCTGAATGAGCTGGCATGTGTACATTCATGTTAAAATGCCACAAAATGAGCTATGGCAAGAGATAGTATAAGTTTGACTAGGCAGAGTTGTTTTGGATAACAACAAATGCAGTTCTTGATTCTCTATACTTCATTCCTAAACACACTCATGGGGGGAGGAGGAGGGGAAGAAGAGGGAGGGAATGAATTTGGTCAAAGGGCGCACACTATCTTCCTCTCCCAGTATCAAGGACATAGGCTGCCTAGTTTTCTTTATAGCATCCAAAACAATATTCTCTAAGAATGAATCATCAGCAGGTGGCAGATATGGCACTGGTCCTGCAGAAGGATTTAGCATAAAATAAAACATAGTGACTTCCCCCAGTATGCCATAAAATCAAAGATCCCAATAATCACAACCCTCTGTCATCATTTAAAATTGGTAGATTGTTATCTTATGTTCTACAAAATCAGAATAATCAGTGTTTATGTTGATTTCCAAGGGACACCACTGTATGTATATATGTTACATAAAAATTCTGCTGCGTCATAAATAAAACCCATCTAGTATTAGTACCATGCCTTAATACATATTAGACATCTAATTACCAATTGCTTTGTTAGACTTCTTTGAATTAAAAAAAAAGTGGCAAAGGGGATTGATCTGATTATCTCATATCTCTGCAAATCACACAATTGTAGGGGTGGCACGGATCTCAAAGGTCCTCTACTTCAACCTGTACCTGAATCTTCTATGCCCTCTACAACAATATCCCTAATAAACAAATATCCAGCCTGTGACTAAAGTAAAGAACAGCCCACTCTCAGAGGTAGATCATTCCACTGCTAGAGAGATCTGGTAAGAAGCTTACATGTTGGGGTGACTTCTGCCTGTACAACCTTGATCCATGGTTCCTAGTTTGGCCATGTAGAACAAGTGAATCCCTTTTCCATAGCCTTTCAAATGCTTGAAGATAGTTATTATGTTTCCCATAAATCTCTCTTTTCTCCAAGCTAAATATCCAACTTTAGTCATTTTTCAGTCCGATCTGACTCTTTGTGACCCCATTTGGGTTTTCTTAGCAAAGATACTGGAGTGGTTTGCCATTTCCTTCTCCAACTCATTTTATGGATGAGGAAACTGAGGCAAACAAGGTTAAGTGACTTGCCCAGGGTCACACAAGTATGTGAAGTATGTGAAGCTGGATTTGAACTGAGGTCCTCCTGACTCCAAGGCCAGGACTCTATTCACTGTGCCACCCACTATGCCCTTATATAGCCATAGTTCCTTTAACTTCAGGTATTTGTGGAA